GAGAAGTTCAGCTGAAAAACAGGTGAAACACAGGTGAAACTCGGGTGATCAGCAACTGGTTGGTTCAATGGATTGGTTTAGTCGGGAAAATTGAAACCGGAAAGCCCCAGATTGAATGGGAAAATCCGAAAATCGATGGTTTCCGGTGTAGATTTTCCCGTGAAAACCAATCCATTGATTGGTGGTATACCTACCCATCTGAAAAATGATGGAGTTCGTCAGTTGGGATGATGAAATTCCCAACTGAATGGAAAAATAATCCAAATGTTCCAAACCACCAATCAGTAATATAACCTGGCGAAGGAAATAGAGAAATAGATGAGATAACCACACGCACATACAAAAAAGATCAAAAAAGCTTTGTTTTGACATGTTTTTATGGATCTTGTGTTGTATCTGAATGCACGTTTTTTCCGCTGTTGATCTACCAACAAACCAAGGCTTGCCCAAAGCATCCCACAAAAGGCCATGTTCACTCCGCAGCGTTCTGCGAACCATGAACCAGACACCAAAAAAGTGACGTAATTAGACCTGTTTAGTTCGGATGGGATCAAAAATCATCATAGATTTGAGTAGATAATTATATTTGAAGACAGTTGCCAAATATCAAATCAATCAATATACTATTCTTGAATTAATGAACCTTATCGAGCATTCTATACGATATGTAATCTATCTATATATCTGATCCAATCTAATCTAATCTCATCCAATTCAATCCAATCCAATCCAATCCATCTATCTATCTATTATATTACTATGTGTATATATATATATACAGGCGTCTAGTTGTCCATAGAATCGATTCCATGCTGTACTTTTGCACTGCACTCCGTTGTTGACCACCGGTCCAAACGGAAACGCTCCGCAGCTTTCGACATCCTTTGGCACCGCTGAAATCATTTTCTGGAGATTTTCCAGCTGCCATGGAACTGATGACAGGCTGGGTGTCCATTTTTTTAGACATAGAAAAGGGATGAGTTTTACCAGTATACCATGAAACAATATATCCATGAAACATCTTTAAAAAAATGTCTATCCAAACATCTAAAAAGCTAGTAGCCTACTAGTAGCTATTGTCTCTTCAATTCCTTGGTGGGTGGCTCCAAGGCCCGGCACCGCCATGTCGTTTGGGGCGTCGCCGACATCAGCCGCGCCGCTTGCAGCACCACAGCCGCGAGAGCCAGCCCTGCGGTTCCGCCGGAAGGGGCGACTTCTTTTCGTCCACCACTTTCAGCTCGGGCTCCTGCCATGGGAGGTGTACCCTCTGGTAAACGTTAACAGTTTGCGAACTTCAAAATGGCCATTGAAAGTTCGTGGATTTACCCATATACTGGTATATCTAATAATGATAGGTATATCATCTATAATCATATGGGGACTATAATTCTAATGGGACTATAATCTATAGTTGATTTACCTATAAAAAATGGTGATTTACCTAAAAAATAGGTGATTTACCTATTGAAAATTGTGATTTACCTCTAAAAAATGGTGATGTTCTATAGCTATGTAACAAATTACCAGATGGTCCTGGCGGTCCGGAAGATCATGGAATTCAACAGGACGTGAAAATCCAGAGAATCAAAAGCTGAAAATTCCCTCTCTGAGACGAGAAAAAGCGGGTTTTCTTACCAGAGACTACATGGTACGACATATTTTCTTACCAGGTATATATATAATATAATATAATATAATAGAATATAATAGAATAGAACATAATATAATATAATATAATAGAATATAATAGAATATAATATAATATAATATAACATAATATAATATAATATAATATAATAATATATATATATTATGTGGATAATGGTCCATATATTGACCACATCCAGTATGTTACGTGGTCAATGTTCTCAATTGGCAGTTGAATTTTTTTATCTCCTTCCCATCCCCCTAGGATGATACATATGCCCCCAGAAACATTGGGTTGGTATTGGATCCAGGGCTTGGGGTGCCAAGCCCGGAAGCGCGGCCTCGTCGCGATCGAACTTGTCCTGGGTGATGTGAAACCACCAGCCAGATTCCATACTCGTGTCGGTTTTATCCTGGTTCTTGTTGATCATATTGAATATGGTGCATTATATATATATATATATAATGTATAATATATAATATATATATATATGTATATATGTATAATTATGTATACATATTAGCGTCTCCTCCATTGCCTCCATTCTGTCTTGTTGTGGTGCAAAATGTCCATGGAAAGAAGGTGACCCAACACGGGACACAAATACACAATTGATCCTTCGTAAGGACAAACTTTTCAAGCCACGTGAACTGGAGCCCGGCCCTAATCTTGATCGTACCCAGGGGATATACTCGGAATATAACTGTATAGTAAGAAATCATCGCCAATACCTAGATGAAGATCTACTTGGTGATTGGGCCACCCCATATGTCGCATGGGCTACCCATCCGGTTGAAAGTGTTCAGGGGTTCTGGCAAAAACGAAAGCCCAGCATCCCACTTTTTCTGGAAACTGTCGAAGGTGGTGCGTTTTCGCACTGTGCTGCTCTTCACCTTGCCGCGTAGTCGAGTTACATCATTACACCCCTCAGTTCATGGTGCCGGAAACGTAACCCAAATAGAAAAGAACCAGTTCACCACACAATTTACCACTATTTCAGCATGTTTGCATCATTTGTTTGGCATAGCATTTTTCTTCATGAACTACAATTTGCCAAATATTTTGCCCATTTTTTAATACCATTTATGGTGTCCATTTAACAGTTTCCTATCATTTTCCATGGACTTTTCATGGCTTCATCGCTCGTGGCGCCTGAGCCTGGGCTTCTTCAGGAGAAATGCGCGGAGGAGATGGCGCTTCTTGGGTCTTTGGCCGCGTGTGGTAGTAGCCCTTCCTGGGCCATGGCGCCACCGAAGGATTCTTGGTGGGATAGGATGGGATAGGATCCATGAGGATCAGGGCTCTCAGCTTTGGACCAAAAACCACTGTTTTAGACTGTGTCGGTTTTCCTCGTGTCCTTTTTGTTGGCGAATTTGACGGTGCCAACACAACTTGTCATTCTTTGGGCTGGAAAGCCCATGATTCGAACATTAAACCATGCATTTTGGGGGTCCAAAAAAAAAACGTAAAACCATACTAAACATCATTACACTCGCAAAAAATGAATCCATATGAAACAGCTATGAATCATATTTTAAACAATAATGGTTACTATCATTAGTTAGCCATACTGGCCATACTATAAACCATCTCCTCGTCAGATGTTGTCACCGCCACCGTCACCTGACAGGATCTACCGCATCTTTACATCATGAAACACTCCTAATATTTTAAATCCAAATGTTAAACAGGTATTTTCAGTTTATTAAACATATATGAGTTACTATCATTCCCATATGCTCCATGGTGCTGGTATATTTACCTACAAAACTGGGGCATAAAAATGGGGTAAATGTTGGTATTCATATTCCAGCACCATGGGTTGCATATGGGATTAGTTGGCCATACTATAAACCATCTCCTCGTCCAAGTGTTGACCCCAGCGCCACCAGCGCCAGCGTCTTGTCACCGCCCAGCTTCTTGGAGACCTCCGCCAAGGCCTTTCGCTCCTCGTCGTCCAAGTCATCGGTATCCAACTGACTCTGACCTGGTGGTTTTTGGGGGCCAAGATAGCGTGAACCGTTGGTGAACATAAGTGGCTTAACAATGGTTTATGGTAGATATAACATGATATAACTATAGTTAATGGTGATAAAAAATCATGGTTTATAAACCAACTTAGCAAACAAAGGGGGCCCCACTTTGTGGAGCTTTACCCGCGGAGCGAGTCGGGACATGGCGGCGACGCCCGGCGGCATGTCGGAAATTCATGGGCTATGAAAAAATGATAAAAATCCCAAAAAGGAAGATGAATGGAATGGAATTCATCATGGAATTATTCCGTTTTTAATTAATCCCTATTAATCATATAGAAGATGGGAACACCATTCCAAAAAATGGAAGTTGAACGGTATTTTGACCAATCATCTGATCAATGGATTGATTTTCTTGGGAAAAACTTGACCAGAAACCATGTTTTTTTTCGAAAAAAAGGGGGTCCGGTAAATCGTCCAATTATACATGGAGGTTTTAATGGAACATCAACTATAATGGCGGATTTCCAATTGCCATGTTTGATTACCGGATGGTAATCTATTCATGTTGCCAGATGTTGCCAGTGACAGACTGATCATCTTGAACAAGGGCTTCCATTCTCAACCTGAAAAATGCCCACTGTCAGTGGAATGAAATCCCAATATCAATATATATATATATCTGGAAAATTGATAACTATGAGGATGATCATAGCTATTTTGGGAGGATTAACCACAACCCAAAAATTGAGATGTGATGGAATGGGTTTGTCTGACATCTACCCAACTGTGCGACAATTCTGGGGTCAACTCTTGTAGATGAATCATGGTGGCGAGTTTGGGAGTTCACCATAGTTCACCATAGTCCACCAGCCCGTTCACCAGCACAAAACATGAAATGTAAACAATGTAAACCCTCAGATGGTTCCAGCAGCAGGGGAAGCCACCACTGGAATCCCGCCATTGGTTCAACTCCCTCAGATCCCGACAATCTTTGAGCCGAATGAGCTGGGCATCATACCTTGGATCCCCGACACGAGAGGGGTGCAAAAATCATGTGAACATTATGTAAACCATAGGTTTTGGTCGGATTGAGTCATATCCACCCTTTGGGGGTACCATGATATCAATATCTCTGTATATCTATGCCTCATATGGCATTTCATGTTTGTCATTTATAAGATTCTCAAAGCAAACACACAGAACAAATCATAGCAGCTGGAACATCCAGCTGGAACGCACTTCTTTCCCGAGAACTTATGGACTCCCAAATCTGATCGTTTCCGTTAAAACAGTACCTCCCGCCCAAATCCGATTCTGAAATAGTGGCAAATTGACTTCCTCTTCAAAAATACTAAGTGTTACTATTGATCATTTTGAGATAACGCCATTCAGCAAACTAACATAGATATCAAAAATCATTATCTACTGTTCTTATGTCATTCTTTTTCCTACGTGTATTTACCCCAAGGTATATTCTAGACATGTCCGGCAGCCTCAACCCATCCCACTTAGCATTTCTTCGTTCATCCGAAATAAAAATATCCGGTGGCTTCACAGAAAGACTGACCAGTCCGGCTGTAGGCTAGCAAAAGCCACATTTCTCTGAGTGCTTCATCATTCCACCAGCATTTCAAGTGATATGTGATATTTAATGCTTACCCGGCCTGGTCAACGTTAACGAACTGGAAAGATCCACCATGCGATGAAAATGGGAAAATTCACGAACTAAATGGGAAAATCATGGAAAATCACCATTTTTAATCTGAAAATCAACTATAAATGGCCATTTTCAAGTTCGCAAACTGTGAATGTTTACCAGGCCGGGTAACTACTGGGGCTCTGTGCGGAAATTGGCATTCAGGCACCCCCCAGTTGACCATTCTTCGATAGTTTTTTGGTCCGAAATCATGGAGCCAAAAACTCATGGTGCCAACCCATTCTCCGACCATAAAAAGGACCATAACTTGAGGTTAATATATGGTTAATGATGGTTAATAATCTGGTTGGTGGTTTCAACCTACCCCTCTGAAAAATGATGGAGTTCGTCAATGGGAATGATGACATTCCATATGTGAAATGGAAAATAAAACATGTTTGAAAACCACCAACTAGAAAAAATAAATAAACCAAACCCTTGGGGTATGGATTCAAAGAACTGGCGCCAAGAATGGATGGTTTGAGGTCGTAAAAACATGTAAAAACTACAACATGTCTGGATCCATTGGTACATCATTTTCGATTCCAAACAATTCGTGAAACTTTTGTGTTTTCAAAGATTTTTAAGCTGGGCAAATGATCAGCCAATATTCAATGTAAAGTAGGCCTATGTTGGCGCGATTCTCCCTAATGTACCTTCTTGTTATTTAACATAACCATGGAACATGGCCCATTTATAGATGATTTTCCCAGCTAGAAACCTCCATTTATGAGGGATTTTCCATGGCTATGTTAGTCATAACCAGATGGTAGGTTTCACAAGAATTTCCACGAAGCCCAATGATCAACCATAGTCAACCACGTGGTTGATGGTTCCCGGAATCGGATGATGGGAAAGTTTCCAGGAAACCCCTATAGCCTATAATCTCTAGCACAAAAAACCACTGGTTTCTTGTAGAGTTCCCCTAAAAGAATCATCCATTGAATGGTTCATTATCGTGAATCCATGTGAATGCCCGATATCATATCGTCTGGTCACGGCTGGTCAGGTCTGGTTTTTTTTGTTCCAGTGCTGCCCAATGGCTTCTTCTGTTCCTCTTCCGCCATGACAAACGCGATTTAGCGATTTGAAGGGGCGAAAGGTGGGTGAAGACCCTGGAAAAGTCGTCCAAATAATGAGGAATTGGTGCGTTCAACCCCCTGAAGATCACCATGATACAAGGATGGAAAATAGAATCGAGTTTCAAACTACCACGCATATAATTGATAAAAATTGTCACTCTCACCGTGAAATGGTGTGGTTTTCCAGCAGTGGCGATTAGCAAAAAAACATGTTAACAATTTGAAGACGATTCATTTTTGAAGCGCTACAAACTTCCATGCACAACTGTATATATTGTATCTATATCATTTTTACTACGAACACTACTTACCTCATAAGCGAGAGCAGTGGTTAAAACAGGATGTTCTATGCTGTGGGAACCATTGTGGCCTTAAAAACATTTTAATAAAATGCCTCGATGGAACCCTGAGAAAATTGGGGCACAACAAACGAGTTCTTACTTTTGTTATTACACAAACAGGATCATCTAACAGGCATGCATTTCCCTTTGCAGGGTCAAATTGTGCAAGCGAAATCGTTGATGTAGGTTTGTTTCGAAGCAAAGTACAGCACAGCTGTGAGGCTATGACCTTTGAGCCAAAGGGACGTGGTCACTTGGGTGACGTCACGTTTTCATGGGTCATTACGGCATGGCAATTCTCTATCCAGCATAGAATTCAAAACATGATATTTTTATATGAAACTATATTGAAAATTATAAAGTGATATGTTTAATACAATAACATGCAGTACGTGTTTTCTTCTTGTTTCCTAGGCATCCTAGGCTTTTGGGGATGTCCCAGGCCATTCGTGCTTGCCATGGGCCAGAAAAACAAGTCTGCCCACAGATTTCACCTGCATCACGCGCTTTAGCTCATGAACACTAGGTTGCACACTTTTTGGGCAATCAGGTCAGTCAATCCTTTTGTAAGTTTGCTAATGCGCAACACAATTGCCAGCTCTCCATCTGCCATTGCTTGGAGGGCGAAAATAAGAACTGCATGAACTTGTTGTGATGCCCGGGGTGCTGCGCTTGATAAGAATATGACCAAATGGGAAATTCACTGATTTTCCCAGATGACACGCCTGCCGCCGTCCTGAAAATTCCAACCCCCAAAAAGTCCGTGCTGTCAAAGCGGCAAAATTTCCTGATAGTTCCATTCCGTGTAAGGTACCGGTACTGTAGCCATCTTGAACAAGTTTAGTGCGGTTACCCTCTGGCAATCTATATAATATGTTTATTTATAGTTTTGGAAATTTTCCGTCTGTCGATGTTTACTTATAAAAATCATGGTTCCCAATGGCTATGTTAGATTCCCAGAGGGGACCAAAACTAAAGAAGACAAAAGCGAAGCGTCCATCAAGCACACAGCTTTACAGCTGAGCAGAGCGTCGCACTTTTCGCGCCCGCACTTCCTGGGACAGCCATGCGGGGTGAAGCAGGCAGTCTGGAACGGGGCGCCAGCACCTGTGATTTCAGTCGAATCTAGAGCGTCATGGACTACGTTTCAGTCGCATATTCCAAGATGTGACCGCCATGCATACGGTGGATCGGTCTCGTCTCTGCGCTTCTCGATGTGGCAGCTGCTTTATTTTTTATACAGCATTTGTCACATGGTCCTCCTATTTCTACCCACCATGGCTCATCGTCATAAAATCTTGCCAAAAAGAAATAACTTTACCATCAAAAAGAAGTCCATTGTGCCATAATTGTGATGAGGTCGTTATAATTTACTGGTTTCCTTGTGGCAAAGACTTTAAAGAGTCAGCACCCTACTCACGCAAGACACCGAGTACTGTTGGGATGAAAGTCGGCCACAAGTCGTCAGATCAACCGTGCCACCAACTGCAAACAACCAGTCCCTTCCGTGTACTACACACAGCTGATCCATGAGCCATGTTTGAATACAAAAATCCAACTTTCAATAGGGGGTCGAAGGTTGCTCGGGGTGTCATTAGCACACCAGGCCATTGAAAATACTGCAAATGTGCCAAACATTGCCCAGCTGTGTATTTTCCTCTGATTCTTGTAAGGATTCCGTATCTGAAAGTGATTCATTTTTGGAATGACTCCCTTTATTTTGAACCATCATTAGGGCCATTAGGGTCTTGGCTGGCACCACAACCTAAAATTGGTCATGGGTTCGGTGAGTGGCCACTTTGGCGAATTCCAAAACTTAGGAGGTTCAGTGCATTTCTCTGGGCATACACTTGTCTACTACTCAACCACCTTATCTAAGCCATTCGAGCTAGTTACTAAGCATACTAAACATCATTTCTAAAAACACTTCATGGCGGCAAACGGGTCACCATTGAAGACGTCAAATCCAAGGGGCCAATCTCTTTTTGGGCCCAAAGATTGGCAAAGATTGGGCCCAAAAAACATGGGTTTCAGTGTTAGTAAAATTCAGCGCCAAATCATTTGGAGATATATTCCCATATATCATCAACATGTAGTCATGAATTTTGTACCATCCATGTCTGGGTCATTCAGAACTAAACGGAGAATTGGACATTCAGATTCACTCTGGGTCATTACCCTCTGGTGAACTAACATAGCAATTGAAAATGGCCATAGAAATAGTGGATTTTCCCATTAATAGCATGGTGATTTTCCATTGCTATGTTAGTTTACCAGAGGGTAAAACATATTAAAACCACATTTTTTCAGAAAATCACTCTCAACATCTACAATCCCCATCAGTTCATCGCATTGGGCTCCTAGCTTTCTGAAGCGTAGCTCGTCTGGAAATAGGGCATCCCGTTTTATCTAGCCCTAACGATCAGCTTCCATATTAAGATTGTGTCAGATTGCCCGTTTTTGCATACCACACATACAGATAGATATATATATCTCTCTCTCTTATATTATATAATATAATATTATATAATATTATATAATATTGTATTATATTATATTATATTATATTTTATAATATCATATCATATCATATCATATTATATTTATTGTATTATATTATATTTTATATTTTATTATATTATATTATATTATATTATATATACATACTATATGTATATACTATATATATATATTCAGCCACACCATGTACAGTATATAATTACCTCAGGATAGCTCATCAATCCGGGCGTATCAGATCTGCTGTCCATGGAAATGGAAATGGGGTATACAGTACGTACACTTTACGGGTTGGTTAGGGATCATGAGGATTACCCTCCAGTAAATTAACATAGACATAGACCCTGGCAGATAGAGGTTGGAAGATTAGTTTCCACTAAAAATTGGCTAGTTTCAGGGTCTATGTTAATTTATCAGAGGGTACCCCGGTGGATTGGGGCCCCAGATTTGTCAGATAAACTCATGGTTTGTTGCTGCGTAAGTTCTAGTTGAAAAACTATTCAGATTCAGCAAATCTGGAAGCACTTCGTCATTCAGGAGTTTTTACACTATCGAGGGGCTGCCATATATTAATCAAGAAGGACTTTTGAAAGCTCTAAATTCCCATGTTTTATATCAAGAGCCCCCCTGAAACAAGGATTGTCCCCAAAAAATTGCTTTGGGAGATGATGAGTGGCCAGACATACATTGTTCATCACTGTTCGGGTTGTGGGCAAGGAACCTCTGGCAGTTTAACACTTTGCTATGGTATAGATGGCAAAGCAGTAGTTCGAGGATTTACCTGGTGAACACATTTGTTTTCCATATAGTTACCTCAACTTACAAGAGGGATTCAGGCCGGGCAACCTCCCATGCTCGTTTTTGAAGTCCATTTTCGTGGGTGAAACGCCCGGTTTAGACCTGGTTTTGATGGTTTTTCTGCTGAATTTATGCCGCCAGAAGCCAATTGGCAGGCCACGTGTCAAAATAAAAAAGGCTTAGCAACTAAGCAACCCAAACTTTGAGTATCTTTGAGTGTTCCCCAAACAAATACCTTTCCATTTTAGCACATCATCTTCAAACTTCATTAAGAATTGGATGTGACATGGTGGCCGTCATCCAAAATTCCCCCAGTTCCCCAAAATTTCCCTAAAGGTCGGCGCTCACCTCGTCCTAAGTCGTGCAGTGCTTGCAGCGCTTGGCGCAGGTCGGAAGGCAGAGGATCAAGGACCTCCACACGGCGGTTTCGCCTCAGGCGAGGTCTGAGCGGAGCTGATAGTAATCATTTGATTGCTAAAAATTGTTATTAAATTTTGCTTATGATTTACTGGTTGGTGGTTTCACCCCCTCTGAAAAATAGTCAAATGATGCTATTATTCCCAATATATGAAAAAATAAAAACCACCAAACAGTAATGTGGTTATGATTTATGATCTAAAGTTTTGATTTAATATGTGGTTATTATTATCATTATTAGATTACTAAAAAATAACAAATATAGATCGACAATTGATATAGATTGATACAGATGGTTTTGATGCTTTGTGTATGTAAATATAATCAGCACTAGATTGTTTGATGATTACTAACATGTCCAATCATAATTTAGCAATGATCGTAACAACGATCTAAGAGTGGTTGCGATCTGTCGTATATTCATGTATATTCTAATCGGCACTCAATTCATCCGATTATGAGGTAGATTATTATTAGCAAAATTAATAGCCTAGAATAATCTAACAACTATCATCTAACAATGCGAAATACGAGAGTATTACTAATAATCTAACCATCTATATAATGATCATTTTAGTCGTTTGGCAGTTGCTATTTCATGGATACAGGCTGATACAGGGTACTATAAAATGGTTTCCGGATTTCCTGACGAGAATAACAAAAAAAACCATCGTCTGCATTTCTGGGAACTAATTGGCTAGCGGGGTCAATGAGGATTTGCTCCAAGATTTAGTGGGATATGAATATAACATTATAAATAGTAATGCGTTTGGAGTGGATGCTAATAGGATTTTAATGGAATATATATATAGGGTCAGTAAAATTCATCCAGATTCAATGCAACCCCTCCTCAGAAACTAGAAAGTCATCGAGGATCATCGTTCTCACTTGCGCACCCTGATCATCTCTCATTCATGTTCCAGTGGGGTTGGGTGGGACAATGACGTTCATGTTCCTGTGCACACACAGGCACAGCAACCTCATCATCTTTCTTGCTGTCCAGCAGACACAGGCACTGCTCTTTCATGATCAGTTACCGGTGGGGTGGGGTGGGGTGGGATGGGGTGGGATGGGGTTGGGTGGGGTGGGGTAGGACAATAACGTTCATGTTCCTGTGCACACGCAGAAAGAAACAGTAGGATCAGCACGCTGCACCTTTACGTAATGGTGGTGATGATGATGATGACGACGATGATGATGATGATGACGATGACGACGACGACGATGATGATGGTGATGATGATGATGCTGCTGCTGCTGATGATGATGATGTATGGCCTTACACGGGGATGAAGATCGTGATGATCAGGCGCGTTCCAAAGCGATGCTTCAGACCGCGTTCCAAAGCGACGCTTTTGAACGCGTTCCAAAGCGAGGGCCTAACCTTTCTTGACCGGAAATCATTTATGGGCTTTGAGGATGTGCTTTTTTTCTGGGTCTGCCAGGAAGACCATGGCCAACGGGGCTGTTTCATTGGGTGGTACCATATTACAGCAATGATGATCACTTTTGGGGGTACCTCTAATTTAGAGGGTGATACTTTTTACCGGATACTATTACAATGATTAGGGGTTTAATATCCAGCTAGTCTACCTATAATAATATGATCAACTGAGGTTTCTTTTTTATCCAGGATTAAGTACAGGTCATGGCATTGCAACCCACCAAACAGCACCGTTTCGTTGAAGCTGGAGGGGAAAAAAAAACAATGAAAAAACTCCAATTGCGGACATGAAACGGCTTCAACTCATGAAACGCCAAGACTATCCAAAACTGCGATTGGAACAGCAAACTTTGGAGACACTACCCTCTGGTAAGCTAACATAACTATGGAAAATCACCATGTTTAATAGGTAAATCAAATATAAATGGCAATTTTCAATAGCTAAATTTTGACATAACCAGAGGGTATCAACATCCCCCATCCCACTCATCCCACCGACAGAAACGGCGCCTGGAGAGCCAGCTGAGACGGCAGCGATGCAGAAAGTTCCGCGGGCACCAAGTGAGATCTCGCTGCAAAGTGGCCATGGAGCTATATCTCCTCGGCATCGGCACCCCGCAGAAGCTGGGGGATGGCAAGGGATTTTCCATATCACCATGATCTTCCGCGAAAAGGTCACCATTATGTCACATGGCTGGGTGTTCTACAACCATTATTTGTTGGCTATATCACCTAAAAACGGTTCTGCTTGGATCATCCTAGGAATCGCAAATGGATGCAAATGGTTCATAACCCGTATGTAACGCAGAACAGATATGTAGCGGGTTTATCTAACATAACTATGGAAAATCACCATTTTATAGCTAGGTAAATCAACTATAAATGGCCATTTTCAATAGCAAACTGTTTGTTTACCAGAGGCTAAATCCCATTAAATCACCATTTTTGTGGGTTTTTTATCCCATTAAACCACCATTAAACCACCATTACCAGAGGGGTACCCCATTACATCCACTGGTTGATCACAAAAAAATCCCTCTTTTTTCATCGCGGGCAAGAACTCAAGCCGAATTTCCCCGTCAAAAGACACACCCAAGAATCATAGTGTTCTTTGTACCCTCTGGTTATGTCAAAATAGCTATTGAAAATGGTGATTTATAGTGAGTTTTCCCATTAAGAATGGTGATTTTCCATAGTTATGTTAGTGTACCAGAGGGTATATCCCAGTACGCCCGATAAAATCCAATAATATCCGCTGCATTCCCAAGATTCCCAAATTCCCAAGTTCTCAACCCACCAATAGTTTAAAGCTTGGCCATAGAGTTACCCTCTGGTAATTTGTCACATAGCTATTGAACACGGCCCATAAACTTAAAGATGGTGATTTTCCAGTTCGCAAACTGTTAGTTCTATTGAGAATGGCTATAGAAAGTTCGTTGATTTAGCCATTAATAGCATGGTGAATTTCCATAGTTATGTAAACGTTTACCAGAGGGGTAAATCCTATTAAACCCCATTAGATCCCATTAAACCACCATAAAATCCCATTAAACCACCATTAGATCCCATTAACTTATGACATGACTTATGACTGATGACTATCACCCACATCCACTCCACTCGTTGAACTAGTCCAGTTGTGTGGCAGGATCATCCCACGGATCGGATCCGTGGGATGATCCAAGTATAGATATACCACATACATAATTATCCCATATATATATATATATCATATATCATAATATATCATAAATCATAGATGATGATTATCATGATATATCATATAAACATTAATATGTTAATATGGTAATCAAAAAAAAAAACAAACAACTTTTGGTGACCAAGTCTCCCATCGGCCACGCTGGCTGCGCCAATGTGTGCCAAGTGGCACCGAATCTGATGTCTGCGTCCACTGCCGATCCGCACGGCGCAGAGGCTGAAGACGTCGCCGGCGCGCTGCGCAACGGACTCCGGCTGGGGATGGCGCGACGAAAATGGCGACGAAAGGGCAAGAAATGGTGGGTTTTGCTGGGTTTACCGTAGTTTTCCATGGTTTTTGATATGTGTTTCATGTATTTCTATGGTGATATAATGGGATTTAATGGGATAAAATGGGATATAATGGGGTATAATGGGATGATAATGAGACTAGGTAACACAAAAATCATGGGACCGACATGGATCTAACCATAGATCTACCATGATTTCAAGTCGTTTTCTGGATTTCATGGGGGGGTGCACCAGCAATGATGGAGCTTAAACTACTGATCCAAATCCTTGTGCTACCCTCTGGTAAACGTTTACAGTTTGCGAACTTGAAAATGACCAGTTCGACAGTTCGTCGATTTAGCCATTTTCATAGCATGGTGAATTTCCAGTTCGTTATGTAAACGTTTACCAGAGGGGTAAATCCTATTAATTCCCATTAGATCGCATTAAACCACCATAAAATCCTATTAAACCACCACATGTGGCCTAAATCCCATTAAACCACCATTAGATCCCTATTTAGGCCACATCTGATGGGGATTTAGCCGCTAAGCTAACTGTCAATCTGGTTCCTCGATTAGTTGGCGAGAAGTGGGGACATCTCAACACCGTCGGCGGCCCAATCTCTGTGGCCAGAATACCCAGAATTACCCTCTGGTTATGTCAAAATAGCCATGGAAAATCACCATTTTTAATGGGAAAATCAACTATTTCAATGGCAATGTTCAATAGCTATGTTAAATTACCAGAGGGTATGTCATATTCTATCCCTATACTTTTTGAACCACAATTTCTGTTGCGTTGATCTCCAAGTTCATGATTAAATGATATCCAGATTTTCAGTGGTTGTGTCCCAATTCTTTATGGTAAAATCACATAAAACCGAAGTTGTTGCCTGTTATATCACATTTTTTGGATGGTTTTCCTGGTTTACTTGCCAAATTCGTGTTGGTGAATTTCAATTGACCATCCATTTTTTTCTTGGATCAATATTAGTTTTTGCAAATTACATCCCTATATAAATTGATGGTTAAACACCATTATCCCATCCAAACCCCCAGCAAAATCCTGGTTGTATCCCCAAGTCATTATTTCTGATGCTTAAACCATCATGTTTCATGGCCACCAATCTTTCCCATGTTTCAAAGTCCCCATGGAAACATCATTCTCAAATGATGTTTCCATGCCACCTTGATTTTCGTGGCCCAAAAAATCCATGCCTTGAATTTCCAAACAGTTAAATCCACAGTATAAAAGCCTCATTTTCCATGCCATGAATTATGGATTTAACATGATTTAACTGGATAAAATCCCAATTTTCCATGCCATGGCATCATGGCATGGGGATTTTCCACCGGTCCAAGTTGCCACCAGCTCCGTCCGCGCGGGCCATCCCCGCGGGCTGCCCGGCAGCACCCGCGTCCGCGCATTGCGTCGCAGGGACGCCAGGGGCCAGGTGACAGGGCAGCGCACGGAGCGGGAAGGGCAGAGGCTGTGGAGCAGAACCAGGTAGTCCTGGCAGGGGAAAATAGGTGGGCTGAATATGGTTCGCCATAAAAAACTATGGAACATATAATAACACGTGTGCGAAGTTAGATATACATATATATATATATGTATATGTATATGTATATGTATATATATATAATGTATATATATATATGTATGTATATGTATGTATATATATATATGTATGTGTATATATATATGTGTGTGTATATGTATGTGTATATATATATATATGGCTATCTTGGATTGGAAGGAGGGTAAAATATATCAGATATCCCTGCAATCATGAAATATATATATATATATCATATAATCCTGCAATTAATCCAAATGAATGATGATTAATGTTAAAATATATTAAATATAGATGAATTATAGATGAATGATGATGAATGTTAGGAGGGTATCACTTCAATTAATGATGATTAATGATGATTAATGTTATACATCCCTCATAATTCCTCAGCATCCGTTTATCCCTTTCAGTCATCCAGGTTGCTACTCATGGCTCCTGACAGCTCCAGTTGATTATATATGCAGTAAATTGCCAAGGAATATTGCCATTCAATGTCCATTCAATTGATCCCATTACCCTTATACAGTAATACTATCTTGTACTTAATCATACTTAACTTAATCCAATTAAAAACCACCAACCAGCCATCCACCAATAGATGTTACGCCATTCAAGTGTTTTTGATGATATTTTCCATGACATGTCACTTTCTCTATGGATGGATCCATCAAGTTTCTCCACCGGTTTGGCGCTCCCGGGTGAGGTCGTCTGTGGCCAACTGCCATCGAAGGTCGTAATAGCTCCTGAAAAGTCACCGACCGCATCAGGGGGTTTCATAGGGATATGTCATAGCCATATCTCATCTACCCGGCCTGGTAATGGTGGTTTAATGGTGGTTTAATGGTGGTTTAATGGGATAAAAAACCAACAAAAATGGTGATTTAATGGGATTTAGCCTCTGGTAAACATTCACAGTTTGCGAACTTGAAAATGGCCAGTTCGACAGTTCGTTGATTTAGCCATTAATAGCATGGTGACTTTCCATAGTTATGTTAGTTTGTCAAAGGGTCTCTAGTTCGGCTTTAGTACCTGAAAATATTGGGGAAAAAACAAATCCAATGGTTTGTCATGCTTTATCATGATGTTCCCTATGAAAATTGCTATGTGGGTATTCTGCTTTTCTGATTTTTCTCCTATTATTTAAATTAATCTACCATCATCTATGTACAGTTTCACGTTAGCACCACAATGACCGACACTCGTCAACCAGCTACTGTAATCGTGATGTCATGTCCATAGTGGAATGCAATGAAGTAGACTCAACAGTTCGGATTGCTCCCAACATCCAAATACGTTTAGGTGGTAAAAATTGGTAATTAGAGATGTGAAATATGGTTTAAGATGACCAATTTCCCCCCTTTGGTTATCAGAATTTATCATTCCTTGGAGCACCCTGTTGGAAGGTAGATGTTCGCACACTCGGCAGTCCTGTAAGTGGTGGAGACCAAAATCAGTCCCGAACTTGGTACATCCTCAGTGCTGTGATCATGGTGGCTTCAATTTTTCAGCAGGAATCGGTTCTTATAGGATTAGTAAAACAATGATAAACCATCCCCGATTTCACCATGTTTATAGGTGGTATAAACCACCATGTCCAGTCATGTGTGGTTTACCACCTTGTTTTAACCACATTAATATTATTATATATGTTGTTTCCACTGTTGTGACCATTATGTTGCTTTTTTCTTATTACTACGCTGCATCGGTTTTTTCTTCTGATTGTGACTGAAATTGTGATCGTGACTTTTTTGTGACAAAAGATGAGCCCGGCCATAGATGGAATCCATGGTTATCCCATGTCTGACTCAATTTCCGATATGTACCGTCCAAAACTGTACATATCAAACTTTATGATGTAATCCAGAGCTGGTTGAACGAACCCCTCTTTGAACAAAAAAGGATGCATGGCTATGTGTCAAAATCCCTATGGAATCCCCTGGTGTTCAGATTAAAAAAATGATAAAATATGTGGGATTTATGGACGTTCATCCCAAAAAAAAAACATGGACAATTAGAGGTCTTAAGTTTCAATCATTTTCAATCCATCCCCTGGGATATGCTCCAAGTTCAGACCAAGCGTCCAAGCGATGTAGAAACCCCAGCTTTGAATTCGTGTCTTGCAAGATTGGAGCCATGCGCTTCACACGTTGCATGCCGCCCATGATGGCTTCCTGGGGGTTGGGATGTGACTTTTAGGTGAACCTGGGCAGTTTATCTCGCTGACCGCGGTGATCATTATTTGGTGAGCTACCTTCACCGCAACCTCCAGCGTTTCAAGATATTTCATCATCCCAATATAATATATATCATAATATCTCCGATATAATCTCTCCCCATGTTTGATGGTTAAATCATGTTAAATCCCTATCTTAGCCTATCTGGTTGGTGGTTTCAACCCCTCTGAAAAATATTAGTCAGTTGGGATGATTATTCCCAATATATGGAAAAACAAAAAAATGTTCCAAACCACCAACCAGCCAGTGTTGATCCCCAAGGTTCCACGAAGCGCCCCATATTGCCCCTTGGCCGCATCGCCGCTGGGCTTGCTGGCACAGGGGTGTCGTCAATCTGCCAGCCGCTGGGCTTGCGAAGGACCAGGCACTCGTCAACTTCCTCAAAGCGGAAGGAGAACTGAGGATTCCCATACATGTCGCTGCTGAGATGATCAATGGATTGGTTTAAGGGAAAATTTTAACCGGAAAGCCCCCATATTTAATGGAAAATTCTACAGAAAATCCATTGAGATGACAAAATGGTTACAAACCCCCCATAAATATACAATGGTTATACAACACCTATATAGTTCAATGGGAACTGCACTTCCAAGTAAGCCTTAAACAACTGCCATTGAAACCAGGGTGATAAATTCAACCCCCCTATGCTTGGGACACCAAAAATGAATAGATCTAATATTTTTGGGGAGAAAAATCTTATAATTTGGGTAAAATTGGAGAAATTTTCACGAAATGCCAGGGATAAAAAGGTGCCAATGTTCTTTCGAAATGTCCAAGGCAGCGAAACTGAAAAGTCACAATTCAAGCACATTGAGGAACTTGAAGCCAAAAAAAATACCTAAACAAATAACTGGTTGGTGGTATACCTACCCCTCTGAAAAATATGAGTCAGTTGGCATGGTTATTCCCAATATATGGAGAAAAAAAAAATGTTCCAAACCACCTACCAGATGAATGCATGTGGTCCGCTGCTTTACCTTTCTCCTCTCAACCTTTCCCCCCCAAAAAAAACCACAACATCAACATCCACCACCAAATTTACAATCAATGGATTGGTTTAAGGGAAAATCTACAGGAAACCATAGATTTTCCCATGAAATATGAGGCTTTCCTGTAAATTTTCCCTTAAACCAATCCATTGATACAAGAAATCAAATGTAACAGGATCATCCCCCCCCAGAACCCAAAGGTTTGTCCAGCCGAGTCCAGCCCACAAGTTGAACCTGGGCATACCCCCAATAACATTACAGGACCCATGGTTGATAATTCCCCAAAAATGCGTCACAAAAAAACAACAAGGCGGTGGTTTTCCCCCCCCAGGCATAAGTTGGTCAATTAATTCAGTTAACCTCTGGTTATTTAACATAGCCATGGAAAATCACCGTTTTTAATAGGTAAACCCAGGTAAACCATCTATAAATGGGCAATTTTCCATGGCTATCTTAAATAACCAGAGGGTAACTCAATTAAAGCTACATCATGATACAACCCCCCAGTTACTCCTAGCTTGCCTGAGTTGAAACAAAGTATTCTAAGTATGACACAGCACCTTGTAAGAATGTTCCAACTAATGACGAAGAATCAGCAATCATGGGAAAATCAATCTGGATGGATCACTAGTAACGTGGATATCACTCAAACTATACACCAACTATGAATATAACTATTATAATCATAATCTGGTTGGTATACCTACCCCTCTGAAAAATATGAGTTCGTCAGTTGGGATGATGACATTCCCAACTGAATGGAAAGTCATAAAAATAAAATTCATGTTCCAAACCACCAATCAGTATCAATCAGTAACTATAACTTACCCTGCCATTCATCGGGGTTGAAAGATGAGTGTCCTCAAAAAAATTGTGTTTTTTCAAGATTTTCAGGGTCCAACTGTCAATTTACCAGAGTGTAAGAATTTTTGGACTAGTCTGATTGCCATCTAGAAATCACCATTTTTGTTGGTTAAATCCCATGAAAAACCACCATTTTTCATAGTTCAATCCCATTAAATCACCATTTTTCATGGTTAAACCCATTTTTGTTGGTTAAATCCTATTAAACCACTATTAAACCACCATTAAACCACCATTAAATCACCATCACCGAAGCATCCAACACAACTTCCGGCTCCGCCCGCTCCGCCCGCTCCACCGGCTCCGACCCCAGCGGCAGCGCCGCAGTTGGCGCCGCAGGCGCCAGGCGCTGTAGGGCGGCGCGGCAGCGGAGGGGAGGACCGGGAGCAGCGGAGCCGGCCAGCTGATGATACGCCCAAGTGACCTCACTGAGTGAACTGGTGAGTAACACCAGTAACACTGGTACCTGGTACAAGGTGGGGCCCACCAGTTATAAGATGGTTTATAAACCCCATTAACTATAGTTATAAGTACCATAAACCATAGTTATTGGAATTATAAACCAACTTAGCTATCTAGGGTGCCCCACCTTGTAGGTAATTTGTTAACGAACTGGAAAGATCCACCATGCTATGAAAATGGGTAAATCAACGATTCGACTGGGCCATTGTCAAGTTCGCAAACTGTGAATGTTTACCAGAGGGTAATAGTAAGCAACAAATTGCATGATTCATGACCCTCAAGCCAACAGTAATGGGTAATATCATGTAGCAAATAAAACTAGGTATACAGATTTTATGTTATGCTTTTGATTACCTTATTTTATTATAGTGGGTACTGAAAGAAGTAGCATTAGATTATCATCAAACAGCTATCATTGTGATGATGAACTTTATCAACCAACATACGGTAATTTAAGGAAAGAACATACTGAACTGTGATTATAACTGCTCTTACCATTAATAATATGGAAATTGACAATAATAATCATAATAATGACAATTATAGTCAATGAGAATTTCAGGATCCAATTGATGGAGGTACGTACTGTACCATTTTTCAGGCCATATTTTGCTTATTCCCTTACATAGGCCTAAAAAATAGACCTTATATACGGTAGGTACCTCCAATAAATCGGTTCCTGAAATGGCCATTGATATAATGCTGATAATGTCATGGATTCCTTGGTCGGGGGAACATGTCAGCCTTATTGGGGGAAATGCAGTTTGGTACCCTTTAAAAGTCTTACTACCCCGTATCACTTATAAAAACCTCGCAAACTTGATGAGTATTACCTCTTGACAGCTTTCATGTGCCCAAAAGAAGAGATGCCTTTTCTCAATGAGGACAATCTCTAGATAAGAGATGTTGGGGTAGTGTATGTCTCATGTTCCGATGTTACCCTCTGGTAAACTAACATAACTATGGGAAAAAAAACGCCATTTTATAGCTGGGTAACTCAAATATAAATGGCCATAACTATGGAAAATCACCATTTTGAATAGGTAAATCCACTATTTCTATGGCCATTTTCAATAGCTATGTTGGGTAAACATATTTAGCATGAACCCTTCGGTGACCGGTGGATCGACCACATTCAAAATCGTGTGCCTTCGCGAATTTGGGATGTAGCTGCTGGGTCCGGGCTGGGTTGATTTTGGCAACCGCAAAGAAACAACATATCTGGTTGGTGGTTTTAACCATCTCGAAAAATATGAAAGTCAGTTGGGATGATGAAATTCCCAATATATGGAAAAATAAATTACTTTACTTCGTGTGATCCCCACCATGACATTTATACATTTTCTTACTGGCAAATCTTCTGGCATTCTATCTGACAAATCTTCTGGCATTCTATCTGGCATATCTTTTGGCATTCTATCTGGCATTCTATCTGGCAAATCTTCTGGCATTCTATCTGGCATTCTATCTGACATATCTTCTGGCATTCTATCTGGCATATCTTCTGGCATTCTATCTGGCATATCTTCTGGCATTGTATCTGACATATCTTCTGGCATTCTATCTGACATTCCATCTGGCATATCTTCTGGCGTTCTATCTGGCCGTTGAGGTCCGGCAGTGCCCACTGCGATCTGGAAGTCGCGGTTGAGGTCCGGCAGTGCCCACTGCGATCTGGAAGTCGCGGTTGAGGTCCGGCAGTGCCCACTGCGACCTGGAAGTCGCGGTTGAGGTCCGGCAGTGCCCACTGCGATCTGCAACTCGCGGGTCCGGCAGTGCCCACTGGGATCTGGAGCTCGCAGTGGAGGTCCGGCTGTGCCCACTGGGATCTGGACTCCGAGGAGGAGGCGGCGGGTGAGGAGGCGGAGGAGGCAGAGGAGGCGGAGGAGGAGGAGAACAGCTCTGATAAAATCTAACAACCCTCACCTGGCAGGTGGGGAAAAATGTTCCAAACCACCAATCAGATATCTTTTTATACAGCTGCCCAGCAATTGTTTTTCATTATACACTATCGACTAGACCGCCCCTCAGATACAACTTGCAGCTTATCATGTGACTAGGCACTGCAAACTCCAAATGCCTTAACAAGAGATTGCACTCCCTCATTTTCTGGCCACCCAGCTTTTTCCCCCCTTTAGGACTCTATGATAAGTAATGATGATGGTAATGTAGCAATAGTAATAGTAATGGCAATAATGATGATAATGTCGTGTTAATAATGGCAACAATGGTGACAAAAGGTCAGAGAAAAAAAAGTATCATGGTAATGCCAGTATCATTTGTCAATGGTAATCAACCCAATAATAGTATATAATGATACAATAATGGTAACAATATTAACAATCTGGATGGCAATTCTATGCAAGTGTAATAATAATGATAATGAAATACAATGAACATAATCATGATGGCAATGACAACTATCATTTATCACTTGGTAGTAACAAATTAAACCCCACTGGTTGGAGGTATCGAAGTATGGCTTACTCAAGCCAGAAACTTATGGAACTCCAAGCCTTTTTTTTGGATATCCAAGTTACACATTCCTCAAAGCAAGTTCGAAAACTGACAGTTGATGCGTTTCTGTTTTGTTTTTGTTTACTGTTTTGGGTTTGAGCCAACTATGGGAAGTGTGATGAACTTCGGAATCCAGTCCATAGCTGCAAAGTGGCCCCAGAGTTCGCTTTCGAAGTGGTTTAGTGGGTGAACTAGTGGTAGATCTATGAATACCCTCTGGTCAACGAACAGTTTGCTATTGAAAATGGCCATAGAAGTAGTGGAATTACCCTTAAAAATGGTGAAATTCCATAGTTATGTTAGTTTACCAGAGGGTAATTTGTATCTACCATAGTCCCATGTTTATCAACAAATATTTATGCCTATCTACAAAGCATATGGATTTTATCAACAAATTTATATGGTTTTATCTGCCATGAGCCCTAGGTATGAATTATCATAATATCATTAAGCCCTACATTCGATG